TCCCATCAGGTCCTCATGCCGTTCTACCTGGCCAGGTCCTTCCTCAATCGTCCTCATATCCTCCACCAGGCTATGCGAGCTGGTCAGCGCTAATTCCATCATCCACTGAACATCCTTACCGCCCCAGGGATCCTCTTCTTTAAAGGGCTTAAGGACTAACTCATTCCTCCTTTCATACCCCTTCGGCGCTTGCCAGATAGGATAGCCTACACAGCTAGGCACTCGTGGTGACCATTTGTTGATATGAAGACGAACATCTTCTTCCTGATGCAGAAATCCATCAACTGGGGGCGTATTCTCCACCGCCTCCCCTTTCTGCTTATCCCAGTTGATCCGACTCAGCCCGTCCGCCCGGTTCTTACTACCAGGAATCCGTTCCAATTCGAAATTGAACATCCAGATGTACGTCAGCCATCTGACAATCGTCGGATCCGATGGAACGTAATTCCTTAGAGAGTAGGTCAGGGCGGTCAGATCCACTCTCAAAATAAACCTCCTGCCAAAGATATAATTCTGGAAGATTCGCAGACAATGGAGGACAGCAAGGGTCTCCCTCTTGAACTGAGAGTAGTTCCTCTCCGTCGTACAGAGAGTCCGACTCTCAAATCACAAGGGTCTTTCCTTCCCTTCCATGCATGCCTGAATTAGAACTCCTTCTAAGGCAGTCGGTCCCGCATCCGTCTCGACAATGAAGGGTGGCGTCTCTGTGGCGTCATAATCTGGCGCTCCTAACACCAACCCTCCTTCTCGAAATTCCTCCTTCATTTTTGTTACCACCTCTTCTTGTTCCTCACCCCATACCCATTCCTGATCCTGACGGACTAACTTCCTCAGGTGTTCAGTCTTAGCGGCAAAGTTCTTGACGAAGGCCCTCCAAAATCCACACGTACCAAGGAAGCTCCTGACATCAGTTATTGAGTGGAACGGAACTGGCCACTTAGTAATCTTGTCCGTCTTCTTCACATCCGGCCTTCGGCCCTTCTCATTGCAGACTATCCTCAAGATAGTCGCTTCCCTCATGCAGTGTCTGGATTTGGCCCCGCTTACCGTGAGGTTATGCTCTTCGAGCAAGCTCAGAACCTTTTCGAGGTCCTGGATGTGTTTCGAGACAAAGCGCCTTACCCCTGGTGAGACTTCGTCGCTCTCTTTCATCGCCGGCCCCTTCACTGTCAAATCGTCAATGTATGGCTGTGTGATATGGAGGCTGACTGACTGCATGGCCCGAATCATGGCTCGTTGGACCATTGCTACTGCGTTGGTCCACCCTTGTGGGGCCACGTTCATGTAGACTAATCCTCGCGGGTTGTGCATAGCTGTCACCGGCCTATCCGGCGGGTAGACTGAGAACTGATCGTATCCTAAGTAAAGGTCTATAAGCGAAATTATAGGTCTTCCAGCACAGGACTCTGACAGCGCGTCTGCATTCGGCAGTCCTCTAGCATCTCGCACGGTCACTGCATTCAATCTTTGCAAATCCTGCACCCACCGCAGCGTCCCGTTAGGCTTAATAAAGCAGAACCACGGGGACGCATACGGTCCACTTGAATAGTCGGCGACGTGAGTACGTATCTTGCCGTCGAGATAATCCACCACCTTCCTTTCCTCGTCAGGATTGGGATACCGCGCCCCTCTCATGTTCCAAGGCTCGTGTGGCATGGTGTGGATGCGGATCATAGGTATCTTATCTACATCCAGCCTGCCCCGCTCCTCGTCACTAAATGTGTAGGCGCGATGCTTCCTCTTCATTAATTCCACCATCAGCGTTCGCTCCTGAGGCAGCAGGAAATCAGACTTCCCTATGATCAACTCCTTCTCGTTCCCTTCGTTGATACGACATGGCCCTGCTAAAGCACTTTCCCTCATTTGTCGAATCAACCCTCGTTTCCTCTCGTAATATGCTTCCTCGTCCTCTGTAACGAGGACGGGTACCGGGCGGCATTTCTTATCTACCGTCTTGTACCGCCTTTGGGAACCCTGTTTGAGCCGTCCCCTAAAAAAGGTCGACTCACGGATTGTGTTTGCACTGATGCGGGGTTCCCTCCACTGCCTGGGAGCCGATATACCAGTTCCAATCTTCCTGCCTCAGGGCATTCCAGAACTTGTTCCCTCAAGGCCTGGATGGCATCCGGATCTGCCATCTCATGGGCGGCCACCAGGTCCATGGCCTTCCCAACATCTGACAGGCTGAGGAAAAATGCTTCCACCCCCTCCCCTGCTTCGGGCTCTGCCCAGAGCCTCCTGCGCTCCCCTTCCGACTCCTCGATTGTGAATGATCTTTGATTGGGCCGGTTCCTTATACTCCTTGGCCTGGTGTTCATGCAAGTAATTATTTCATAATTTCCGCAGGCAGGATCGCATAAGAGGAGGATCAACGTCCCATCATGTTTGTTGAACATCACGGTCTCTGTCCTGCTTAGGAATGACCTCTCCAGGAGGATTCCATGGTCCGCGTCTGGCATTATGAAGAAGCATGCCCTGGCCTTCACCTTTCCAACCTCGACGAGCACATTCGAGGCTGTCCCACAAAACATGGCCTTACAGCTGGCTCCATGCAGAATACCGCAGTCAGAACGGTCTCTATCCAGCCCGAAACTGATCGCGTCCGCCTCCCGAATAATGTTCATCTCTGCCCCGGTGTCCACCATTGTTGCGCACTTGGAACCCTTCACCATCAAATCCACCGTACCGCAGGCTACGCACTTCCAGTCCATCTTCGTACCTGACTCTGCCCACTCTGCCTCCTTGGGCTTCCAGCAGTCGGTCAATCACCTTCTTTACGTCAAATCCTTCTTCCAACCGGACCGCGTATTTCATCTTTTTGGGCGGTCCGTCCTGTATGACCGGTTCGACCTCTCCCCTGATCCCCTTTTTCCTTACCCGCTGCTCCGCTCTCTGATCCTCTTCTCTGCGCAGCCTCTCGTCCTCTTCCTCTTCGTCATCGTCGTCCTCTACTTCCACAGCCTCTTTCCTTCTCCCTGGTTCGTGTTCCCCCCTTGGAGGCTCTTGGCTAGTACTGGCCTTGGCTTGATTCCTCGTTCGCGCTGCCTGTGCCAGCCGGGCTTGCGGAGTGAGGGGTCTCCCCCTTATTCCTGGTTGAGGGCACGGCCCCACCACATTTACTCCGGGTCGCCCAGGCGCTGACTCCGGGCCGGAGTCATAGAGGAATACTGTGGGGATGTTAGACCTCCATCCTTTCACAGAGGCCCACCAACTTCTGTTGGTACCTCCCCATCTTATCCAGCAAGTCCTTCATCTTCTCAAATAAGACGGACGGAGGMTCCGTTYTTTCCTCCTCCTCCTCGTCATCTGACTCGATGATTATGGCCTCTTCCATCTCACTTCCTCCTCGTAGCCCTTGAGTCACTTCCTCATCACTTCCCACTTCTTCCACCCCAAACGGTGGTTCCTCCTTTTCYTGCCATASCCTGAACATGGCAGGGGGCGGTGGTCCCGCTRCCGCTCTTCGTTGGGCTTCARCYCTCACTCCTCCAAGCCTTCTGTCAATGGTCTCCCCAAATTGATCGTAGATATCCCCATCCATAGTAGAGGAAATCAGCCCGCTTCTCTCGTCTTCCCGTCTTATATTACAGAACCTTATAGTGTGGCCTTGCTGGTCACAATGTTGACAGGTGGCCGTCCTCCAGTCAAAGCGGGGTCTTCCATACCCCAGACTTCCTTGATCCCCCTGGCCTTGATACCCCTTGCCTTGATAGCCCTGACCTTGGTACCCCTGGCCCTGACTCCCTTGGCCTTGGTACCCCTGGCCTTGACTCCCTTGGCCTTGGTACCCCTGGCCTTGATAGCCCTGGCCTTG